CCAAAAATCTACTTCTTCTTTTTGTAGTTCATTTAATAGAAATCTTCCTTAACTTTCCAAAAGATTCAAGATTCATATTGAGCCTGTAAATTGAAGTCCTCTTGTAATCAGATTTTGTTGGTTTTTTCATGCATTGTGGTTTGGACTTTTGAGAGCATCAGTTGAGGTGTGTATTTTATAAATATGGCCAATTCAAATGATAAAAAGCTAAATAATAGTTTTTTTCATGCAAGATGTCAACCTAAAGATTATGAATGGTTAATTACAATAAGAAATTTGAAAGAATATCACTTTTTGTTGATCCTTCAATAATTTTCTTGGAGGTATTGACAATTTGTCCAATCATATTGTCCAAACACCTTTGATTTCTTGTTTGATGAGGATTTCTTTTTTGTAATTATTTTACAGGTCCAAAAAAAAAATTTATGGTTTTTATCTTTGTACTTGAATTTTTTATTTCCAGATCTTAGATTTATAGTTTTTAACTTTATAATTAATTTTTTATAATTTTTATCTATTTAGTTATATTTATAGTTTTTATAATTTTTTATAGTTTTTACATTTTTCATATTACAGTTATAATAATATATTTTACATTATATCTTTATTTTGAATAAAATGCTTGAGTAAAAAAGTTGTATTGGAATTTTAAAAGTATTTTCAATTCCAACATAAAATGATGCACAAAAATTTGATTGTAAGAATTTCATTTCTTACTTTTATATGAAACTTTTTACATTAAAATATATATATATATATATATATATATATATAAATTAAAAATAAATGGGGAGATATGGGTGGATGGGATTGAGGGGGTATTGGTGTATTATTTTATGTATTTATTTTGGCTTTTTCTGTAGCAAGTCGTAATAAAAATATGTATAATTATGATCAATAGGGATATATATATATATATATATATATGTATATATATATATGTATATAATTGTTTTGAAAAAAAATCATTGTGGTATTATATTTTGACTAATTAAGTTATATGTGGTCAATTTTATTTTATAGGTATTGTATAATCTTGCTAAAATATTTGAGTAACAAGGTTTTATTGGATTTTATGGAAGTACAATTTTGATGCTTTAAAGCTGATTCCAATTGATTGGTGGAACAAGTGCCATTGGAAATGATCTAGCTTTAATAATCAATAGAATGAATCAAATCAAAATTTCTTAACAAGTCTAGGAAACATGAAATAGTCTAGGAAACATGAAAGAGCACAAAGAAAAGCTGAAACAGTTACAAATGATTGTAAGGATAGATGTTAAAGAGAGGTTGTAGTGACCAGCATTGAAGCTATACATAATCTAAAGAGGATAAATGGTTTGTGTCCGTGTCCTCATTGTAATGTATTGCATTGGTTTAAATATTTTTTAATATATTAAAAAGTAATACTTTGAAAAAATTTAACTAATTTTTTTGGCATATTATCCATGACAACGGCATGGATTTAGCTATTCTACTTTGACGCTGAAACTTCCATTTTTTATTTTTTTATTTTTTTAAAAGAAAATTATAATTTTATTTTTGATACTCAAACATATCTTTCAAAAAATTCTTCATTTGAGTCACACTTTTTGTAACAACAACATGGTTTCATCTAATATAATATTAAAGAATGGAGAAAATAAGTATAAATAAAATAAAAATAAGATAGAAAAGAATTTGAATAGCTACTGTCAAATACAAAGTGACCAAAAAGTGTTGAATCAAGACTAGAGTATACTAAAGGCATTGACAAGACTAAGAAAGAGTTCTCTCTTATTTCTACATGGACATTAGCTACAAAAAATGCTTTGTGGAAACTTTTTAAGTACTATAAGACATGTGGTTCAAGTATCAAATTATATATTGATTCCAAAGCAGCTTCCTACGATTAAGAAACTTAAAAAAGATAAGTTTGAATAGTCATATGATAAATCTATAGGATTCTAAAGATCAAATCTATGTCTAAAAGACTTTTTCTAAGTTCCTTAAAAAATATATTATATATATAATATAATCATCTTATTTATATTTATTTATATTTATTTATATTTAATTATGTAATACATGCATTTTTTACATTATTCTTCTTTCTATGAAAAAGTTCTAAAAAGAAAAATTAAAATATTTTTTAAGTTAATAAAATCCAAAAAAATTCATATAATATTAATAATAAATAATTGTATTTTTTCACCACAAAGATAGTTGATAGATTCCTTCAATTATTGATAATATTTTATATAGAGACAAAAATACCACTCATTTATTTGATCATTGTTGAAGCTTTTGTAACTACCTTTAAACAATACATTTTATATGCAATCAAGTAGAATATCTACTTTTAATAATATCATTAAGTATTGAAAATTTCTTATAAAAATGTGGTTTTATATACATTTTATCTTGTAATCTATTGTAAGAATGATATATATATATATATATATATATATCTCTTGAGGATTTTCATTCTAATATTAATATTGTGGAGGTTGAAACATCTTATGTACTTCATCTAACAATTTTTTAAATGATAAGTTAGAGATAAATTTGTTGATTGTTAATTTTCTATTTTAAACTAAAATTCTACAAGTTGATTTGTAAATTTGCTTCTTTTTTCATTTATACCACCTTGTTATCAAGTATTAGTCTTTGATTTTGATTATGTGTTATCAATGAAAAGCAAAAATAAGTTTTATTTTATTTATAAGATTTTCACATGAATCTTGTATTTATTTAGTAATATTATATTTTTACCAATATACAAGATAATCTAATTTATTTTAATATTGCCTTGAATCTAAGACTTATTCTACTTCAAACTTAGAATTATTAGTAATTTAAATAAAAAATAAAATTTATGGTGAATTCTTATTGAATAAAAAAATTACAATCAATATATAATTGGATTAATCTAATTTTAAAGATTTCAACCAAATATTAAAGAAATATTTGTAATCTATTATCAATTAATAAAAGATATTATTTGTAAATATTGATAATAGATTTTAAAATTTTCTATCACTTTAAGAATAAAAATTGAGATATCTCAATATCAATATTTAATATATTAAAGATTATACTATAAAAACTTCATATAAATTAGATCTCAATTATATATTATATTATTTAAAAGTTGATGATATTAATAAAAAATATTCAAGGAAATTTTAGATGATTCTTTATTAGCAATAATTTTTGTATTTAGTAGATAATATGCTTTCTTAATTAGATAATCCACTACCACCAAAATAGAATTGTAAGAAATTAAACTTATAAGATCTATAATACACTCATTTGAAATAGATGATGAAGGTTATTTTGAAATAGGTGTAGGTTAAAGAAGTGCATAGAATTGATGATGTGGAGTCATTATTCAAGAATAAGTGTCACAAGACAAATGTTTGAACAACTTTCTATATTTGAAGCCACCAAAAGTCTCTTAATATAAGTTCCAAATTTTTTTTATATCTAGAATATTCTATTGTTGTAAAGTTATTTTGTATTTAAAGTGCATTTAATTGTGTTTGATTTTTTAAACACATAAACATGTTTATAATAAAGAAGATTTTTTTAAAATATAATTTTCTAAAATTATTATGAAGATTATTTTTAATATATAAAATAAGTATTTATTTACATACTTAAACAAAATTTATCAAAAAAAATAACATCAATTAGGATAGTTGATTTAATAACTTTTAGATATTATTGCTGTAGTATTGAATGAATGATCTATTAAAAAACATATGTAGAAATTTCTTCTTTAGGTTAAAAATAAGAACATCCACACATAGAATCTTACAAGCCTTGTTATTGTTGTTGTTGTTGTTGTTATTGTTATTTTTCATTATCAATTTTTTAGTAGATATCTAATATTAAATAAACATTGTGACAAGGACATGTTCCAATAGAATTGAGAATAATTTCATTCATGTATTGACTGAAAATGTATTATAAGATCTTATTATTAGCATAAAATATGACTACATAAGTGGCCTATTTTAGATAATTTTACCATTCTTAGAATAAATCTATAATAATAAGAATTTCTTTGTTATTGATAAAGATAAGTAAGTATGTTTGTGTGATGAGACCAACGAGAGCCTTTCCTCATAGACTTCCATTGAATGTATGCAATTTTTTTATATCTTAGTAATTAATTTTAAAAATAAGATATTGTTTCTTACAAAAGTAAAATATTGAAAAGTGAGATTTGAATAGAATTGCTTACTACTCCAACTATTAAAGGAAACTTATTATAAATAATCACTTTATTTTTAGATGTAGATTTATTAGAGAATAAGCTAATGTGAAATTTTGTTATTGTAAAAGATTTCTAGAACCATTTAAAACTAGGTTCTGATGCTAAGATATGTAAGAATTAAATTTAAATGAGTTAGATTCTTTAAGTTAATCGAATATATTGTGGTTTTCATATATGAAATATTATTGTCATTTTTATAATCACAAGCTACAGCACATGTATTGGAAGAATTAAATACATCATTGAAAATATTAAAGATGTATTCTTTTTATAATATTTTGATTTGAATCATCGAACTATTTATCACAGTTGATAAAGTTAGGTTTCTAGATAAACAAGTAAGAATAATCTTGAAAACCATCAAACTGCAACATGATGTTTTTGTGGTGAATCACAAAAGTATTGTAACAGAAGAAGCTATTATATCATTAGAAATACTTAATATATATATATATATATATATATATATATATTTTAAGAACCAAAATCTGCATTTCACCACATAGAGTATGAGATCATCACCTCAACATGAGTAAACACAAAAAACACTGCAGTTTGTTATTCTAACAAAGGAGCTTATAATCAGACATTGGTATCCATGTAAACAAAAGCAGTTCACCGCAACGAAGGATGAATACCATCTACCAGAATCTGTCATCCACACTGGATGATATACGTCGATCATCCATCCACATCTGGTTCGGAAGAGCCTTGGAGCTCCGTCTTGTCGAAGCTGCTGAAGCTTCTCGCTGTCGCTCTCTCTCACCGGGGCGCGTTTCCTCGCAATCTCTGTGTTTGAAGCACGCAAGTAATCAATCAATCGATCGAGCGAGCAAGTAAGCAAGCGATCGAGCAATTGAGCAAGGCAGATTCAGTGTGCCGGAAACCTGCATTTGTGTGTGTGCGTGTGTGTGTGAGTGAGTGTGTGTTTCCTCATCTCGTGCTGTTTCGGTCGGGCTGCGGAGCAGTGTGCGTGCAAGCCTTGCGGTGTGGAGTGTGGGACGCTGTGTGTGCACCCGATGGCGTCGATCGGAAGGTCACAATCGAGGTCGGGATTATCCTCCAAGCGTCGTCTCCATCAGCTCTTGGAGCTTACGACGGGTTGGAAGCAGTGCAGCGGAACTTGAGTCCGAAATTTCTCTCTGTTTGCCGGATCAGGACAACGTGTAAGGGAGATACTTTTTCAGTGCCTTGTTGCCATGCGGAGGAGGCTTCCTTTGCTGTAGTTTGTCTTGATCGATTTAGCATTGTGCGTGCGGTGGCTGGGGAAAGCAGCTTGAGGGATTGTTGGCAGCGCCATGGGGGATGCTATGGATATATTAGGGTTGATGAAACTCGGCGATAGGGGGAGTGTTGAGAGTCGGAAAACGCCCAAGGATGTGGTCAAGAAGCCGGATGGTGTTCATAGGGAGGTAATGTTTGTTTTTGTTCACTTTTTATTTTTTATTTATTTTTTAAACGTTTTTCGGAATCGAGCATTGCTTTCTGACTTTGCGGTGTTATAACACGCTGATTTGAACGAGCGAACCTTGAGTTTCATTGAGATTCTGTGCAAAGAGTGTGATTGTGATTTATATTGTGTGTAATTTTTGCAGGTATATGCTCTCACTGGCGGTTTACCGCCTATTATGCCAACATTGGATCCAGCGTCCACAAAGAAGCGTCCTGCACCTACGAAAAAGGTCAATTAGAAATGCCTCTGTGTCTTTCTCGATCAAGTCGGCCACTGTAGTCCGTGGTGTTGAATAAACTAGTGTGGTGAATTGAAGTTGTGATCATACATTCCTTCGTAACGATAGTGGAGCTTTGGGTACAGATATCTTGGCAATGGCTCTCCTTCTCGACTACAGCTCGGACGGACAATCTGCAACTGTATCATTGGGTACATTTGTCCTTTCTCACAACTCTTGCTTTAATGTACATAACGAGGATACTTTCGGTGCTTCACAATTGAACTTCATTGGAATGTATTTGTGCACGTATTCTACTATTATGACCATGCATAAAATACCGTGACGTCGTTGTGAGGTGCGCTGGTCTTTTCATTTGATGCAGTTGGAAACCTCGAAGAAGTGGACTTTATTAACGATGTTGTGGATCCTATAGGTCCAAGTTATGGATGGCTTGCAACCCTCTGGAGATTATGCATTCGCCAAGTACAACAAGGTATTTTATTCTTGAACAAACACTTGGGATTTAATTTTTACTATATATATATATATATATATATATATATTAAAGTCCCTATGGTACAGAGTCTGATGCCTTGTGCACGTGTGATTCAGGGTGTGAATGGCGTTCGCTATACGGATGAGGAGTATAATCAGTTGCTTGTTGATCCGGTAGGTGGTACTTGTTCAAATTTTGTTGTGCATTAGGTTGCTCTTATTCTGTCTGAAAATAACGTTGTCGAAAATGTTGAATTGTAATTTTTGTACGAGAGGTATGGTACTCCACAAAATGAAAATGCACTGGAATTGGAGCAGGTTTACGTATTTCAGCTACAATTAGAACATACTGATAGGACCACGCTGGCATTTAAGCAGTGGGATTAGTTTCATACCTATTTTTCTCAAGGTACAATTGGGAAATCCTTTGCCTCGTTCTTTCCACCGACATTCTCCGGAGAAAAGTAATGTTAAAAAAGGTCTTGAAGTTTAGTCAGTGGTGCATTTGTTATTTTTTATCAGTCTGTCGAATTTCGAAATTCCGCTGTATTGCTGCTGGGCGAGCTTGTTGAACTATCTGTTTGACGCAAAATCGTGTATTTCTTCTTTGATTATCAGAATTGGAGCAGAGAAGAGACAGATCGGCTTTTTGACATGTGTGAGCAGTTCGATTTAAGATTTATCATCATAGCGGATCGCTTTAGTTCTCCGTGTACTATCGAGGAGTTAAAACACAGATATTATTCGGGTAAGGTAGTGCGTATTGTGTCGCCCTGCTATCGTCTGCGAGTTGAAGCTCCACCTTCTGATCCACTCAGTGATCAAGTCATTAAATTCTGGATGCCCATTATATTTTTTCTTATCTGACTCATCTTCAACTTTCCAGCTGCCAAATCTATAATACAGGCCAGGGCCGGTCCTAACGATGATCTAAGCGAGCATGCCTTCTTTAAGGTAAGAAGGTTGATATTTTTTCTTCGTTGTGAAATGCTCATATTTTTATTTTATTTCTTTTTTTAAACCTCAAATGATTCGAGTTGCTTTTGTTTCAAATACCCTACGTGGTTTAAATTGTGTCAGGTTACTATCTTAACGTCGCATTTCTTGAATACCTGAATTATTTTGTTAAGTTTTTCTTGAGTGTGAAACTTGCTTTTTAACGACTCCGGTTCATTCTGAGACTATAATTATAAATCAATACAGGATTCCTACAATGTTAGTCATGAAGTGGAACGAAAGAAAGCATTAAACATTATTCTTTCTCAGTCACGGCAGCAGGATCGCGAGAACTCCGTGGTTATTTATCGTTCTTTTGTTCTGATAGCTAAATATCTATGCATATTGGGTGCCAATTCCTTCTGGCTCTTTCATGACCGAGGGTCTTGTCATAGTCGATAAGCTAAGCCCTTCTCAAGCCATATCATATCTATTGTCATATAGTTTTTCCCGACAATACACTAGTTTTCATTTTTGCAGATGTGAGAGAATCACTGTTTTCATGCAACGTCTTGCTTTCTGAAAGGGAGATGTACTTGTTTTAATAATCGGGAATCTTCGTGCATGTAGCAAGTGATGTATACTTTTGTCATACAGGTTATCGCAGAAGCCAGGCGTATTACAGAGACTCGTTTAAAAGCCAAGGTAAGATCTCCCAGTTACCTCCTTTTAAGTGACCGTTTAAATGACGTATGTTGATTCACTTATTATGCTACATAATGTCAGTACTGGAATAAAGGACTACGATAGCCCCAGAATATCTGTTCGTGTGGTTTATGGAACATTTACTTGAGCAATTTGGATGGAGTAATAGCAACGACCCATGTGAGTCTTCTGCGGCGATTGTGGTTCTCATATCACTTTCTGATGTGCACATTTAGTTCTCAAGCGTTTAAGGAATATGATGTGGGTTCTTGTCAACTGCGTAGGATATAGAAGAGGCGCAAGTTTCAACGAGACCTGCACGTCACGTGGATACAACACCTACAAGTCCTACTTTTTCGTCGACAACTGGCGATATTTCATTTTTACCTGTTCCTGTTACTGTTGCGTGTACAACTTCTGTACAAGTGACTCCTGTACACATATCTTCGTCGGCCCCTCCTTCAACTCCTGTTCTAACACCTGCGCCTGCTTCTGGTTCTGCTGCCCCTCCTTCAGTTGGACCACGACCGGTAAGCTCTTTCTCTACCAATGCACTACCTGTTTCGTTGAAACCTTAATTGCTTTGAAAAAACACCATTATTTTGAGGGTAGCAGATTTTTCATGAACTGCCTTATCATTATGGTTTGGTCTGTACCTATATTTGTATGATTGATGCGTGCTGACCAGAACAGCGGATAAAGCCATTCTACTTGGTCACACAAACATAAACTTTGATTGGATATTTTCACTGATAACGAAGTAGGCTAGATGTATGTTAGTTGGAAGCGAATTCAAAATGACCTTGAAAGAGCTTTCGTTTTGCTGGAAACTGCTCGAATGTGCTGAATTTCATGTGTTTGCAATGTGTCTCTTCTATGAAATGTTTATGATTTGTATTTGGATCATGAAACCCTTTCAACAATACATGACTTGGGGAGAATGATAACTGCTTTGTTGTGTGGGTAGCCACGAGTGTACTTGAGAGGAGCATGGTTGACTCAACAAATTCATTTTGTGGTTTCACCTTCTGGCGTGAGAACTGCGAAGCGCGTGGATCAGATACTTGAGGAGTATAGGGTAATTTCACCAAAACAGCTTGCCTTCCTGCGTCTATCTGTATTTTGATCCTGTTTTGTGGATTGATCATTCAGCTCTTGATGGAAAGTTCGTTCTCATACTATTCTAAAATATCCGTGATTTTATTATGCCGTTGGTTTTAATTAATAGACGATTGGAGTTACTAGGTACAATCCAAACCCAATGTTCCAACGGCGACAGTTTGTGCTGAGCATTTAGAGCTTCGAAGGGAACTTCTCAATCTACTACAATTGCAGAAACAGGTGCATATTTTTCAGTTTCTTTTTAAATGCTTCAATTTCTTTTTCAGTGTGGGTTTTATGAAACTTGCGGCCTCTGTGCCACTTCTTGTACAGTAGCACCACTCATCATAAGTCACATCTAGACATCTGATTCGACATTGAGCAGGTACAATATAAAGAAACCGAGCTTGCTATATTGCGGGATAATCCCTGTGCAGGAAGCTCTGCTACTCCAAACACCCCAAAGGTCAGTTTTTAGATCAAATTTTTGTGCCTGGAGGGAGTTCCTTTCTATTATTGATTGTTTTCTTGTTCGTGTGCCTTATAGTTTGTATGTTTGTTATCAAGTGCATGTGGAAGTAAGTTATCACGTTTGAATCAGAACCCTGAGAGGAAAAGCGGCATATGTAATATAGGTTGAGCTAGAAGATCCAAAAGCATTCATGAGATTACATGAGTCGTCATGTCATTTGTCATGGTCATATAACATGAGGTTATATGTTTCTATTAGAGAAGATCATTTGTTTATTCGATTATTCTTGTGGATTACTTTGAATGCAGAGATTCCACCGTGGACTTGAAAATGAACGTGTTTCAACACGTGCGACTCCCGCCGCTGCAGAATCGGAGGATTTTCCTGGAAGTGGTAAGTCTTGCATTCAATCTTCTACCCCGCATATCCCTCTCCTCCTGTGTTCTTGTAGTTTGATATCCACGACTGTGGCTCTTAAATGCAGTGCAGAAGGATTAACATAGCAGCACGTTCTGTGTAATTGCATGGTTGTCATGTCCTGTAGCTGTAGGACGATTAAAGTTTAATAAATATGTTTTTTTGCTGAATTATAGCCGTATAATACTAAATGTTGTGTTAATAGTATTTTTTCCTCTCTTGTAACCGATTTGGATTACATATGGCAGGTGAACGTGTAACTAAACGTGAATACAAGCGAAAGGTATGCATCCTTGACTTATTTCTACCTCTATGATTTAACACTTACTTCCATAAGTTCGACAGAAGGTATTTCTCAAATACCGGACCGCGGCATTTCATGGTTACATTATCTTGCTCATTGCGTGGAGTAGAAGACGCTTTGTTACCATCAATAGGATTCAATATTTTTACAATCTTGCTTTGACTGATGTGCTTTGTGACTAGGCACTTACAATTACACATGTATATATGAACCGAGGTATTTCATGTTTTAAACTTAACTTGGCTTATGAATCCCCAGTAGGGCATTGTATTCCTACTCACTGGTGTGTTCATGAAATTTGCAGGCTCTAGCTAGGTTTCAGGAAACACCGACATCACCACCCTACCACAAACGTGGACGTAAACTGAAAGGTTCAGAGAGTTGATACTATGGCGAATCAAGGAAACCGTATATAATGTATCTTTGGATCCCCCATTGATACTTGTACAAAGGTCAGTCCTAATGCTTTTTTAATGAATCAAGGGTGAATCATTATCTTCTTCATGCTTCTCCCACATGCTCTTCACGGATTGTGCCTTGTGTCTTTATCTAACAATTTCCTTGCCTTCTTTTTTGTACAATCAGAGTTTCATTCCCAGAAGATGTAGGATTCAATCCAGGTTTTAGGAGTTCGATTATTGATGTCGCTAGCCTTGCATTCACGGTGATGTAGATGACACGACAGTTGAATTGCTCCATGGTCTCGACAGAAGGAAGTTTCCGAAGGTGTGTTGGTTGGTGGTAGGTCTTAGGCTGCAGTTACTGCATATGAAAATCAGACGCCTTCAAAGCTCTTAAGTTATTTCTCAAGTTTCCTAGCAAGTATCATATCTATCCTCATTTGTTTGTTAGCAGATGTTATTGGAACGAACAGTAGATACAGGAATCCAGTTTCTGCTGCGACTCATGCCGGTCTTATTCTTGGAGTTGTACTTTGATGTGTTCTAAATGGTGCGTAACTTGGATGTGATCTATCTTGTGAAACTGACCATCAAATATTCATCAACACATGGCAGGTTTTGAGCACATTCAATTTACACTTTTTTGATAATGCTCTTTAAGACACCCTGTTTCTGCAGTTGCAGTTTTAATAGAATGAAGTATTGTTCTCCTGACAAGAGTTTATCTATTCATGTTAATATATTACACACCACTTGTGGAGGTAATGTTTCAAGTAAAGGATAATGTCGTTTTCAATTGTCATATGATAATCCTTAATAATTTTTTATTTATTGATGATTTCGGTACCAATAAGTTGATATGCTTTCGAAGTCCTTCCCCCG